ATGAAGAAATAAAAAGTGTAGGTAAAAAAAAAAATTTTAAAGACACTAAAGGCGCATTGCCGTGGGAAAGTCTGCTGTTAGGGACCTCTCCAAAGTACTGAAGAGCAATGGTGTCTCTCTGGAGACTAAGGTGCGTCTGATACAGGCTATGGTCTTCGCAATCACTTGTTAAGCATCAGAGAGTTGGACAATGACCAGGGAGGATAGAAGGAGAATTGATGCCTTTGAGCTGTGGTGCTGGAGAAGAGTATTGAGAATACCATGGACTGCTAGGAAAACAAACAGATTTGTCCTGGAAAGGGTTAAACCGGGTGGCTCCTTGGAGGCAAAGATTCTGAGGTTCCGTCTAACATACTTTGGACATGTTGTGAGGAGGGACCGGTCCCTGGAGAGGGACATCATGCTTGGGAGGGTGGAGGGACAGCGCAGGAGAGGAAGGCCCTCTATGAGGTGGATTGATTCAGTGACTGGGGTAATTGGGATGGGAGTGTCAGAGACAGTGCGATTGGCACAGGACAGAGCAGAGTTTAGGGCTGTTGTACATAGGGTCGCTATGAGTCACAAGTGACTCAACGGCACATAACAACAACAATATGCATATATGAAAATTCTTTCCTTCTACAAACAAACTAAAAGAAACCACAAAGAACAATAAATAGAAAACTCTGCTGGTGAGTTTAGAAGAAGATAATATCACAAATGAAAGTGTCAGTTCTCAAGTGCTGCATTAACAGCAGGACCACAAGTGGGTGGATTTAACAAACAAATTCATTTTCTCAGAATGCTAGAAGCCTGAATTCAGGGCACTGGCTGGCTCACTCTATTCCAAGTCTCAGAGATAATTCTCATCTCTTCTCAGCAACACAGCCGATCAAATCCTATTAATTGACCTTCCAGGACTCCTTTTCTGACTGTCCTTCCCACCATTAGCATCACCTCAATTTCGGTAAGCAAACACCCTCCCTTTCTCATGGTCACCCCTCATGGCTTTGGGAGCCCTGGTGGTGGAGCTGGTTGCTCTAACTGAAAGGTCCATGGTGAGAACGCATCACATGTTCCGTGGTAGGAAGAGGGCAGTCTCCTGGGAAGATTTCCAGCCTCAAAGATGCAATGGAGAATGTCATGCTCAGAAACAACTCAAGGACAGTGGTTTGTTATGGGCACATATTTGCATAGGATCCCTGGTGGAACAGTGGATTAAGTACTGAAGTGCTAGCTGAAATGCTGAGGGTTAGAACTCACCAGCTGTACTACAGGAGAAAAGAAGGCAATCAGTCTGCTTCCATAGAGATGGACAGCCATGGACGCACTGCCAGGAAGTTTGACATCACCTCCACTTGGGACTTTATCCTGCTGTGCCACCTGATGCCTCAGCTGGAAGGCTCCATTCTGTCACACTGCCATTGGCCTCAGATAGACTCTTTTTGTTATGTGTCGTTGAGTTGCTTGCGTCTCATAGCAGCCCTGTGTACAACAGCTCTGAACCCTGTTCTATCTTGAGGCAACCTTGTTGCCTCTGACACACCTACCCCCATTACCACAGTCACTGAGTCAATCCACCTCATAGAGGATCTTCCTCTCCTGCACTGTCCCTCCACCCTTCCAAGCATGATGTCACTCTCCAAGGACTGGTCCCTCCCTGCAACATGCCCAAAATATGTCAGACAGAGCTTCAGAATCCTTGCCTCCGAAGAACAGCCCGGTTCACCCTCTCCAGAACCAACCTGTTTACCCTATCCCATGATATTTCATGTCCCTGGTTTGCTGTTAGAACAGAGACACTAAGCTGCAGGAAGATTGCCCAGAAGCAGCTCAAAGACAAGGACCTTGCTTCAGAACCGCCAGAGAGACAAAGCCTTCCCTCAAGCTGGGACTCAGATGTGGAGCCTCCTGAACTGTGAGACTAATCTGTCAGTTTGCTGTACTGAGGGATTGAGCTGCATCTTGCTAAGCTCTTTGTAGCTCAGTTTTCTTTGTTCTTGCCTGTTTATCATTGTTCTGATGAGTACAGCACTTGTCTGTCCATTTGCTGTACTGAGGTAACTTGTGGGCTGCTGTGCTGCTGAAAGCTGTGCCACTGATGTGTCAAATTCTAGAACGGTCACATATAGTGGACTTGATTTAATAGAGCTCCAAGATTAAGACAGATAAGGGATGAGGGTTGGCCATCCATTTCTAAAATAACATGGCTCTGAAAACCCTATGAATACTAGAGAAACATGTATAGATACAGTATTAGAAGCAGAGCCCAGTTTTCTATGAAGATGGTTCCAAAGGTGAAGAAGGAAGCCCCTGCCCCTTCCAAAACTGAAGCCAAAGCAAAGGTGTTAAAGGCCAAGAAAGTAGTCCTTCAGCCACAAAAGCAGAAGATTCACCTTCCAATGGCCTACGACACTGAGATTCCTAAGAAGGGAAAGGTCATTGCAAAGAGGAGAAAGAAGAAACCAAAATGGGTGTCAGAAGATATCCTGAAAATTGCACTAGAGCATTGAGGAGTCAAAGGAAAAAGATGAAATAAAAGAGCTGAACAGAAGACAAAGCAAACTACTACAACAGAATGTGCAGAGAGTTGGAATTGGAGAATAAAAAGGGAAGAACTCACTCAGCATTACTCATACTGAAAGAACTGAAAAACAAGTTCAAGCTTCAAGTTACAATACTTAGAGATGCTGTGGGCAAAATCTTGAATGATCCAGGAAACATCAAAATATGACATAAAAACTATACCAAAAAAGAATTGGCTAACAGTGAACTGTTTCAGAAAGCACCATACGATCAAGAGCCTTTGGTAATGAAGGTAAAAAGTTCAAGCTGCACTGAAGGAACTGGTTAAAAATAAGGCCCCAGGAATTTAACTACCAGTTGACATGTTTCAATTGGTAGATGCAGCCCTGGACCTGCTCACCAGTCTGTGCCAAGAAATTTGGAGGACAGCTGCCTGGCTGATTGACTGCAAGTAATCCATATCTATTCCTATTCTCAAGAAAGATGATCAACAGAATATGAAAATTATCAAACAATGTCATTAATAATACATGAAAGCAAAGTGCAGCTGCAGATCATTCAAAACCAGCTAGAATAGTACATAGAGAACTGCCAAGTGTTCAATCTGGATTCAGAAGAGATTGTGGCTCTAAGGATTCCATTGCTGGCTGAACGCAAAGAATATCAGAAGGATGTCTGTTGTTGTTATTGTTGTTATGTGCCATTGAGTCACCCATAGTTTATAGCGACCCTATGTACAGTAGTGCTGAAACCTGCCCTATCCTGAGCCAGACTTACTGACTCTGACACACCTAACCCCATTACACCAGTTACCATGTCAGTCTATCTCATGCAAGGCTTCCTTTTTCTGTGCTGTTGTGTTTTATTGACTATACAAAGGCATTTTTCTGTGTGTATCATAACCAATTATGGCCAGCATTGAGGGTAAGAAGCTCAGGACTTTTAAGGGTCCTCACATGAAACCTTTACCTAGACCAAGAGGCTATTGTGTGAAGAGGGCAAAGGAACACTATATGATTTAAAATCAGGAAAAGTGTGCATCAGAGGTAACTTGTGGTTGCTGGGATGCTGAACACTGTGACACTGATGTGCCAAACGTGGTAATGGTTGCCCATGGTGGACAGTGTTTGCTGGAGCTCGATCTTTTCTCTATACCTATTTAATCTGTATGCTGAGAAAAAGATCTGAGACGCTGGACTCTATGAAGAAGAGTGGCATCAGGATTGGAGGAAGACTCATCAATAGCCATTATGCAAGTGACATACTTTGCTTGCTGAAAGTGAAGGGAACTTGAAATACTTGCTGCAAAAGATCAAACACTGCAATATTCAGTATGGATTATGTCATAATGTCAAGGAAACAAAAATTCTCACCACTGGACTGACAGGCAACATCATGAGGGGTGAAGGAAAAACTGAAACGATGACTTCATCTTACTTGGATCCATGATCCGTACACTTGATACCAGCAGTCAGGAGATCAGGAAACATTGCACTGGGAAAGTCAGGAACCTCTCCAAATTATTGAGAAGCAATGGTGTCAGTTTGAGGACTAAGGTGTATCTGATTCAGGCCATGGTCCTTTAAGTCACTATGTGTCAGGGAGCTGGACAATGAATAAGAATGGAAGAAGAAGAACTGATGCCTTTGCACTGTGGTGGTGTAGAGAAGTACTATATAGCATGTGGACTGCCAAAACAACAAACAGGTCTTACAGAAGGTGCAGTTGGAGTGCTCCTTGGAGGCAAAAATGATGTTTTATCTCACGGTTGGGTACCCAATGCAGACAGAGAGTGGGGTGGAGCTCCCCGATTAAAACAAGCTTAGAAGGAGGAGTGGCATCCACTTCCGTAATAGCTTGCCTCCGGAAACCCTATGAACCTGGAGAGAGGGTGAAAGGCACCCAAGCCGAGGATTCTCCTTCATAGGGTCGCTATGAGTCGCCTGTGACTCGATGGCACTTAACAACAACTTCAGGCATGTTGCTAGAAAAGGCTGTATTTCTTGGAGAGGGACAGCATGCTTAGAAAGGCAGAGGGTGAAAGAGAGGAAGACCCTTCACCAGATGGCTTGACACAATGCGTTAACAGTAGGCTCTGAGATCGTGGGGACAGATGGCACATGATAAATAGGGTTCAGGTGAGTTCATAGGGTCACTGTGAGTTAGTTGGATGCTACTCAACAGTACCTAACAACTGCACTCAGTTGGAATCAGCTCGTGGGTTTGAAGAGTGTGTGTGTTTGCACCTCTTGTGAATGGACTCGTACAGCATTTGTTGCCTTGATGCCAGATCCACTCGGCTTGTTTTCAGGCCCATCCCAGCGGTGGTGGCACCGGGGCCTAGTCTCTCGTGGCCAGCTGGGCTGCGCCTCACCACGTGTTTGTTCACCCCGTGCTGCTCCAGTGGTTGTTTCCACGTTCTAGCTGTTGTGAAGAGCCACAGTGAGTATGGCTGTGCCGGGCTGTGTCCTGCTCCTTACGCATCCATCCGGCAGTGCTGCTGCCAGGGTTTCTCTGAGAGTCTGAAGTTCCGTGCTTCCCTGTGTGTGGTCTTCCCTGCAACAGCAGATAGTCTGAAGCACAATGGCCAGGTGCTGTGCTCCATGTCGCTGCTGTATCCGGGCACGTGAGGGTTTGAGGAGCCTCTTACTCTGTCTCCTCCTCATTTTGAAGCAAGGTTCTTCCTTCCCTGCAGATTGTGGGGTGGACACGTGAGCAAAGGAAAGGACAGAGGAAGTGCCTTCGCTGTGTCATGCTTGGGGCCGAGCTAATCAGAACTTGATACCTGGCACAATGGGGCAGCTCAGTCACCCTGTTATCCTGGCACCAGGAGGCGTCTCGCCTCCAGTCATGCCCAGACTGCCTTTGTTCTAAGTGTTGAACAGTGCAGGGCTGTATCAGAGCCGCAGAATCAGATGCCTGGGATGTGCTGTCATCCCATTTGGTCCTATCAGACCTGCCAGCTGCTGCTTTGAAAATACTGCAGGAAGCAGGTCTGGGAAACAGGAGAGTTGCAGTCCTAGAAGGCCTGCAAACATCTGTGGCATCCAGGGCACCGGCTTCCATGAGGGGCAGTTCAGGAGGGAAGGGGGAATGTCCTCTGTGGCAGAGCACAGCCTCCGCACTCAGACAGGTGAGCCCTAGTTTCCTCGGCCCTGTGTTCAAGTGCTGCAAGGCCAGCGCCTCCCTCTCCACAAGCAGTGTCTGGCCTGCAGCTTTGTGCTGCATAGTCACCCCCAGGGTTCAGTGATGCCCAGTGAACAGGCTGCAGCTGATTGACCTCAGCCTTGCGGTGCTCAGCACCTTGCATCAGCAGTGTTGAGGTTTCTGCCTCAAGTAGGAGTCGTCAGCATTTCCTGGTGGCCTTTGTTGTTCGGGGCCTTTAAGTCCCTACTCCTGGTGGCCCTGCGCCTCATCCTCCCTTGCTCCATCTTCAAGGTCTCTGATGGGCACCGGCATTGTTGGTCCTACTGTGTCAGTTCATCGAGGTGAGGGTCTTCTCTCTTCCTCTGATTCTACACCTCTCCCAGCGTGATGTCCCTTCCAAGGACTGGTCCCTCCTGACCACATGCCCAAAGTGTGTGAGGAAATGGGAACTGTGCCTGCTGTGACACGGGCTACAGGTGTGTGGACCGGGACTGTGCCTGCTGTGACATGGGTTCCCTGTGTAAAGAGGGGGACAGTGTGTGCCATTACATGGGGGTCCCTGGATATGGGATTGGGGCTTTGCTGTGGCATGAAGCCCCTGGGTTTGAGGTATTGTCAGCCCTGACATGGGGGCCCTGTGCCCTTGCAGGTCAAGCAGGTAGGCTTCCCTGGCCCAGCTCCTACCTGCATGGCTGTCTGAGAACTGCCGCAAACACACTTTCCTTCCACAGTAGCTTTGCCAGCAGGCTGTAAACTCCTCCGTATCACTCAGATTTAAGAACAGAAACTCTGAAACAAATTAAACCGTGTTGACATTGTAATAAAAATCAGAATGGGACAGGGCAGGTCAGTCAAAGTGCACCACAGTTATTTCTGCACATTTAGGTTGTTTCGAGGACTCCCCCGTTGCCCAGCTCTGGGAAGCCACTTCCTCTCACAAACCACCAGGTGGAAGGGTGGATGGGGCCGCTCTGCAGAGGCGGCAGGGCCCCTTTGGCTGCATGTGTCAGCATGGATGTCCAGCAAGGACCAGGTGATGCTGGCTGGAATGAGTGTGTGGGGAGTGTGCTTTCAGTTAAGAAATGAGTTTGTTTTCACACTCTGCCTGCTAATTAGGTGTTTACACTGTATTACCAGAAAAGTCAGAAGCACATGTCCAACACTCTCCAGAAAGGGCCCTGATGACTCTGCAGTGTCTCTTTAGGCTGGTTCCCTCGGCCTCTCTGTCCCTTCTCTGCTCCTCCCATACCCTGCACCCTGCCACATTCCCACCCAGTCCCATCTCCCAGCAGTAACTGTAGTGTGGAGTTCTCCAGTTCTTCACTTGATAATGGAAACGGTGGTTCCCCCGTCCACGCAGCTTTCCACCCTGGGCATGATTTCCTGTCATGCTGATGCAGTTGAAACGTGCAGACGGAAAACAGATAATTGGTGAATACGAGTGTCTCTCTGAGTGGAGGGCTGTGGCAGTGCTCTGGTGGGTGGTAGGAATGTTCTGATAAAGTGCTGCTTTCCTCGAACCATCCATTTCCTCTTCATGCTGATTTCCTGTCCCTGACCGAGCCACACAGGCCGATGCCATCATGTATTGCCCGCATGGTGATGTCCAGTCTGGAGACAGCCAAGTTGAATAAGAGCAGGCTCACTACTCCACTGTAGTCATGCCTGGCCAGGGAGACTGTGGACTCTGGCCCACTGAGGCCTTGACAGGGACCCCCAGCATGTGGAGCCTCTGTGTGTGGTGACTCTGGCAGGAGCCAGGCCCTCACTTCAAGGAGAATGGTGAGGAGAGAGCTGGACATCGCTGATTGCCGCATGTCCATACACCCCACTTCCTGTCTGGAAGTGTCTTCTATTTATCGACCCTCCTCCCCCGACTTTCACAGTTTAAGCTATTTGACTCCTCTGAGTACTTTGTTGTTGAGCAGCTGGTGGATTCAAACCTTGCACCTTTGAGTTGGCAGCACAGTGCTCTACTCCTGAACCACTGGAGCTCCCTTTGATATGTTGTTGTTCTTGAGTACGATAGAGTCCGAACCGATCCATAGCGGATCTTCTGGCTGGTTTTTTCAGAGGCAAGTTGATGGCATGATAGGAGATTGCGCATTTTTCTCCCCCAGAGCAGCCGGTGGGTGCATTAGAATTGCATGCCTTTGGGTTGCAGCACAGCTTCTTTCCACTCGACCACTAGTGCTTACTGGTGAGCCTTTGAGCAGAAAAGCGAAAGCAAATCCACTCCTTGCAATCAAGCCTGACTCCTGGTGACTCCACAAGGCTGTGACCCTCTGTGGCAGAATACTGAACATCTCCCTGCCACCAAGCAGCTGGTGGATGCAAACTCCTGACCATTTCGTAGTAGCAGCCAGCAGGGTCCTTTTCATTTGACCAACTCATTACCATTGAGCCAGAAGTGATTTGTAGCTGACCCTTAGGGGTTTTCTGAGGTCATAAATCACACAGGAGATGGTCCATCATTTTCCTGTGGAGCAGCTGGTGGATTCCAACTGTAAAAACAGCAAAGGCCTTATGGTGATGGCCATACTGACCTTCAGCAGCCTCACAAAGGGAACGTCCCCCATCGACAACAGTGAGTTCAGACATGTCCCCCATGCTCCCACACCTCTTTCTGTTCACCCCAGCATCGGCCCTGCTCCTTTGCTGGGTCCGGGATGGGATGCAGTAGCTCACAGAGCACAAAGAACCATATTCAGGACACCAGAGGTTATAATGCTGGTTAGCAGGATAGTCAGCCCAGCTGCTGACACATGCTCACAGGTGCCTCAGCTTCGAGCCTCGTGGCCGTAAGCCAGTGTCAGATCTCCCAGTCTGCCGGTTGTGGCTCCGCCCCACCTTTATTTGTCCAATCAACGTGGGCAAAGTCTCCTGGTTCTCTCCCACTCCATCTCACCGCAGGCCTCTGGTTCTCTGCTGCTGTTGGCTGTTGCTCCCATCAGCTCTGGTCTGCCTGGTGCAAGAATCTTTGGCCCTGAAGGACACTTTTCTTGCTTATTCTTTGCTGCTGGTGAGATTTCTTCTCTTTTGCTGCTGGATCTGCTCAATTTCATGACGACGCTAGCCAGTCCCCTGCAGATATGCTAACCCACTCTATTCCTACCCATCCCTATGGCAAGGGCAAAGGCAAGCTAGGGAAACCCTTATGAACACTCGTCCTCAACACTCCTCCAGCCACCAGAGAGGTGCCACCTGCTGGTCGGCCGCTTGGCCCCTGCGGACTGTGCCCCCAGAGCATACACTTTCCTGATTGGTTTCATTTGGTCAGTGCTTGATGTCTGCTTCACATGTGGGAGAATCAGGCCTAGACACCCGATAACTCTGGAGAGGATGAGGTCGGGTGGTCCAGTGTTGGAATCCTTGCCTTCTGTGCAGGAGACCTGGGTTCAAGTTCTGGTTGGTGCTCTTCACATGAAGCCTCCACCTTACTGTCCTTGGAGGCTTACATGCTGCTATGAAACCTGCAAAACAGGTTCAACCTGAGTTCTAGACTAAGACCAACGAGGAAGAAAAGCCTGGAGATTGATTTCTAGAGACCCTGACAGCAGAAACCCTGTGGATCCCTTTGCACTCAACCATGGGGATGCAGACACATGTCATTCTCCTGTGTGTGTGTGTGTGTGGGGGGGGGTTGGACAGACCACAGCTCCCAACAATGGGAGACAAGAAGCTTAGGAATGAAGTCATTGAACTGCTAACTTTAACTCCATCCAAGCAAGTGCTGACTTCCTCACTCTCTCGTTAACATGGCTGCCAGGTTGGTGAGTGCCAGACTAGGCTCAGTGGGCAGGGCATGCCAGGCACTGCATAGTGTTAGTTAACCCACGAGGAGACCTTCGCACTTCGTCGATACTTCAGACTGAGTTACCAGAGATTGCAAGCTGATGTCTCTGATAGTCTACACTCTCTGCAGCCCATCTTTTTTCCTTTTTCTGATGGTTTATTTTAAATCGCAAAAAGGAATTGATGCTTAATTTTCCAAGCTTATTGCTCATAGCCCCACCAGACAGGAAGAATTCCCCAAACTCAAGGGACTGTGCCATCAAACAATATGGCACAACAAGTTTCACACCAACAGATTGGAAGAGGTGCATATATGGCCCCATTTCCAAGAAAAGTTATTCTACAAAATGTGGAAACTATTGCATTATTATCACCTGCAAGGAAAATACTGCTGAAGATAGTTTAAAAATGGCTGGAACAATTCATAAATAGGGAACTACTAGAAGTTGAAGCAGGATTTAAAAGAGGCTATGGAATCAGGGATATCATCACTGGTGTTAGATGGATCCTGGCTGAAAATATACCAGAAGAATATCTATTTTTGCTACACTGACTGTGCAAAACATTTGACTGTGTGGATCAAAACAAGTTATGGATAACATTGAGAAGAATGGGAATCTCAGAGTATTTAATTGTTCTTATGCGGAACCTAAACCCACACCAAGATGTTGTTGTGAAAACAGCAAGG